ATCATTTTGCATGAAACAGCTATGCAGTTATTATGCACATTTCTGCACTCTGATTGGCTAATGACCCTTAGCCAGCCAGAGCACAGAGATTTGCATATTATATGTTTATTGAGATATAACCACAGTCGTTATTCAGGTCAGTTCCCCATCAGCCACAGTGCTGGGATTTGCATAAGTGAGAGATAATCATACTGTTGTGGGTTATTAACCCCTAGCATCCCTGTATGCCGATTGGCTGAGTTAATCCCATTTTATTACAATATACATTATTGCATTGCATTTTTGCTATGAGAAAAGTTTTATTAAATCAGCAGCTGAGAAAGCCTGATCATTTCAATGCGACTTTGCCACTTACAAGAAAAAACACATTAAATACATTTTGTTATGTGGACAATTATGAAGTAACAGTGTTCAGCACAAAGGTAGTAATTCAGAAATATGTTATGTAGGTGACAATACTAACATAGCAACTTTGAAAGGGCTTCATCTGTATATTGATCAAATGCACTCTAAACCATGAACACCAGTAGTAAATATCTGCCTATCAGGGCTTATTATTCAAACAGCAGATTTCAAAGTGACACTGATGAATAGCAAAATGCATTACAAAATGTAGTTGGAATCTGAAAAAAATAATGTAAAAACAGGATTAAAAATGGCAACCTTGGCAGGTTCTTAGCTGCAGAGAAATAGTGCTTCCAGGCACCAGGATAATTGGGTAAATTAAAACCAGAATGATAATCAGCTGCTTAGACTAGCAGAAATAATTCTGAGTAGGTGGTTTGTAAATACCAGGGAGGAGGTCCTGCTAGGGATGTCAAAATGATAAGAATCTGTACTGAAGTTTACCGAGTGCTAGTTATAACTATACAGTACTATTGCACCTTGTGTGGCATGGCATTGTATGCAAATTCTTCTTCAGAAATGAGTTTGTAAATCTCTTGAAATGCACAGATGTGAACCTCTGGGGGTAATTCAGGTGCGAAGTAGATGCAGCTGTAGCTCACGAAAGCTCATGCTCAGATAAATGGGTTAGTCTCTAAGGTGCCCCAAGTCCTCCTTTTCTTTTTGCGAATACAGACTAACACGGCTGTTCCTCTGAAAACTGTTAATGTCGTTTCTGTATTTCATTTCCTAGTCTGAAAATTAGACTCCAACAAATTCATTTTTTATAATACGTAACATGGCGAACAGAAATCAAAGAGTAACTTCCTAACTGCATGTTGATAGGATCCCCAATTCACTGCATAGCTCTAAACAGCTACAGAGTCTGCCAAGGAGTCAAAGAGGGGAAGTAGTCTTCAGTTACTCCATGGGAGGAAGGAGTTTGGCCAGTGAACTGGGGGCAGAAGATAGAGAAGGGAGAAGGAAAGAGACTAGGGAAATAGTGACAGGGTCTGGGAGCAAGCAGACTGTAGTTGTTGGACATCAGGTCCCTGAGCTGGAACCCAGATTTGTGGGTTGGCCTGGGTTCCCCGACCAGCTGCTGGGAAAGTGGCACAGCAGTGGAAGACTGTCTGGATTGGCATGCGGACAGCTGAGCCGGCAGGACTTTGAAACCCCGGAACGGGAGGACTACACAGTGACATGGCTAGAGGAACGAGTCATAAAGAGGAAGCACTGCAAGTCCTGGAGAGCAAGGAGGAACGTGGCGGGACCAACCATCAGAAGGGGAGTGTCAGACCTGAATGGAGCTAATCCCCAGACGACAAGCCCTGGGTTTGCAGTAGTTCTGCCTGGGTTCCATACTTATTCCTAAACTTCCTACTCACTGGAGGGGAGTGGTTCAGAGGCAGAAAAGGGAGTTGGATGCACAACTTCCAGTGCATTTGGGTACCCAACTCTCTTTTGTTTCCCTGAAAATCTTCTGAACCTGCTCTAGTGTGAGCATGTTGGGTAAAATTTTCAAAAGCATCTAAGTGGCTTAAGAGCCAAAATCTCATCCAAAGGGCCTAAGGGCCAGACTTTAAAAAGGCCACTAAAGATGTAGTGAGGCACCTCGTAGGTGGTTTTGAACATCCCTCTAGGCATCTATCTGCATATTTAGGCACCAAAGGCACAGATTTTTAAGGGTATTTAGCCCTAGCTGCACTAAACATTGCAACCCCAGCTGATTTAGGAGACAAAATTCATTCTCAAAAGTGATTTAGGCACTTATTCTAAATCCCATAAACTGGCAATGGGATTTTGGCTCCTATGTGCCTAAATCCCTGAAGAAATGAGATTTAGGCTTCTAAATCAGCTAGGTGTTATCATGCTGAGCACAGCGCCCTTCGTGCCTAAATCACTTCTAAAAATCAGACAGGCCCCTAAATCACTTGGGAACTTTTGGAAATGTGATCCTCTTATCAACTTCAAACCACTTTAATACGTTTACAAAACTTGTTACACTCCTTACTTTGAAATCTCATCTTTTCTGATGAGAAGCTGGCCAGCAGACGCCCGCAAAGCCAGATCCTGCTTGCCTTTCTTGGGCAATGAGTCTCAATTTTTGTTTGTTTAAAGCTGTTCACATTTACCCCTTAAAAACTCAACAGCCTAGGCCTGGTTGCTGTAACTTCCGAGAACAAGAGTGAAAAATCCTGCAATAGGAAGGAAAGCATCTGCTAAACCCTCTGCATGCTTGTATCGCTTCGAGTTAAGTTGCAAGGCAGATTTTTAAAATGACAGCTCTCCCTTATTCAAATGTTCCAGTGCTACAGTTGACAGCCATGACAGTTATAAGCACAGCCAGGATCTGTGCGGCTTCTCTCATTTCTGACTTTCACCCACACCTCCTTCAGTTGTCGGCTAATGATCAGAAATCAGAAGTCAGCTTGATAAAAACTGCTGTGTGAATATAGACTTATTCAGTCATGGACACACAAGGGAACAAACAGTGGGAAATTCACCCTGCTTGCACAAAGCCCACATTCTTTGGGGTGCAGGTTAGGGATCTGAAATAAGATCTGAGTGGGTGGACGCCTACTGAGTCCCATAGAAGTTAGTGGTCAGAGTTCTGCCTGTGTAGATCAAATTGCAGAATCAGGTTTGCAAGAGAATGGAAGAAAGAGCCATGAAAATAAATGAGAGCTCAGGAAACAGATCGCTTGCCATTGCTTCAAGAGTTGCATTAGCCATCTTGACAGCCTGAACAAAGGCACTTTATCTCATCGCTTGACATGAGCATTAAAGAGAAAGGAAACGCTTGTGAATAACAGGCATAATAGGAAAGACTAGTTAAGTGAAACATAACTGACTTCCAGTGGAAGCACAGGGACAGATTTTCAAAGTTAGTAGCTGAGACTGTGTGCATATATTTCTGAGTACCTAATTTATGTATGCAAATACTTGATCTTTGCACACAAGTGTCTCGTTTGCAAAAACACTTTGAGTATCTTCAGTATCTGTCCTAAGATTCTCCTTCGATAAATGACATCTCCCTTCTGATGTGGAACTACATACTTGTAAGTCCTATAATTTAAGTAATTCTGTTAGATTTCCTTGCTACAGTGGCATCCTATTGACAAGTTGTCCTTCATATTTGTTAGAAAGGTACAATTACTCAGTAGTTATTTGCAAATTAATTGCCATTTCCTAATGAACAATAATACAGTATACCTGGTTGTTTTCTTCCCAAAGCAATACTCTACATTCCACTTATAGTGCCAATCGATACTTAATTACCATTTAGTGTTAACTTTTAAAATAAAATAATGTTTTATAATAATCTAAATTAAAAGCTCTTTACTACGGTTACTTCTATAATAAATGCTGGTGAAATGACCTATTTGAAAGCGAATCACATTATAAACTCACATAACTCAATTTTCAGAGCTCATCTCATGCATACTAAAAAGATGTTAAAGGCTGTGCAGAACAGTAAAAGAAAAAAACCCATTTGTATAAAGGAAATACGATTCTTTGGAGTAATATAAATATACCATAAATTAACAGCAATTCAAGAAATCACCAACAGCGTGCATAGTTTGGAAGATGTTATATCTCAGTTAGCGCTGTAAAGGTGAACCCATTATTTCTGGTCTATGCATAATGAAATCCTAAGCAAAACAGCATGTAATTTCTAGAAGCAATATAACAATTTCCGATAAGGTCATGGTGTACTTAATTTGAGACTGGGCTACACATTCTTCATTGTTCTTGTCATCTCAAGATTTCTTAAAGAGTATAGTTGTCTAGAAATGCAGTACAGGTTCCTAGAGTGGCCCTCAGTCATATTTTAAAAGTGATGTTGGGGGCATCATGTTCACTCAAAGTTGTACAGAATTAGAATCCTTAGCAGCATGTGCATTTTTTCAATTTTAAACGTTTTTTTGCCCCACTCTGTCTTTCTTGTGTTTAGAGTTTGCAGTGTTATTGTAGCTATGTTGGTTCCAGGATATAAGAGAAAGAAGGTGAGTGAGATATTTTATTGGACCAATTTCTGTTGGTGGCAAAGGCAGTGTAGCTCAAAAGCTTGTCTCTGTCTCTTCCGTCCATGCAAGTTGGTCCAATAAAAATATTATCTCACCCACCTTCTTCCTCTTATATTTAGGGTAAGATTTTTAAAAGTATCTAAGCGATTAGGAAGCCTAAATCCCATTTTCAAAAGGGATTTAGAGCCAGATTTTAGGTGCCGAAAGATGCAGATAGATGCCTAGTGGGATTTTCAGAAGTACCCAAACACCTAACTTCCATTAGAATAACCTGTTCAAGTGCTTTTGAAAATTGCATTTAGGCACCAAAATACCTTTGAAAATCTGGCCCTTAGGAGCGTAAGTCCCATTGATTTTTCAGTGAGTCTTAAGCTCTTAAGTTGCTTTTTAAAATGGGACAGGCTTCTATGTCACTTAAGTGCTTCTGAAAATGCTACCCTTATTGTCCAAAACTTTCTGAAAGAGGTACCCGATCCAAAGCCTGTAATCAATGAGAGTCTTCCCACTGTTGACAGTGGGATTCAGATCAGGTCCCAGGTGAGCTGCATCCCTGAATATGAACGGTCAAGAACCAAAATGGATTACCTGAAAGGATAGGCAAAGGCTATGTCAATGCTGAGGTCGCTCTCTGACTTGTTTGCACAGTCCACGCTGAGCCGCAGGCCTCCAGAATAACCACCGCATGTTGCAAATGCAAAGATTGCAAAAAGCTGTCAAAAACAAATGACATTTTCATTTTACTTCAGCGACAAGAACAACTGTATCTATACAGCGGTTTTCTTGACTGAGTCAGAGGTCGCTGCCCAAGAAACTCACTCAGATTATCAATAAGGCAGAGTGGTCAAGAACATCTGGGTTTTAATACAAACAGACTGGTTATTCTGAATAGTAATAGGAAGTGAATTCCATAATTAAGAGGAATAATTATAAGCTTCTCTTGCTCTCAGTGCCAAAAATTACAACCAGGCAATTTAGACCTTAGTTTAGACTAAGAACATATGGAGAAAGAATGAAGATTGACCAAGTACAATGGACCATTTTAAACTTTAAATATAAATAAAATCACTGCAAAATGTTCTAAGGAGCCAGTATAGGGATTTCGAAGGAGTGACACAAAGGCAGACACATGGTTCATGTAGATATATTGACACAACATGCAAAATATGTTATCACATTATCCTTCATTAGTTTTTAATGAAGCTACATATGACTTTGAATAAAAGGCTAACATGATTTATTAGTTTTTGGAATCGTTATTGTAATCTTAGATAAATGAGCAGATGCAATAAATCAATACTAAAGTAAAAGGGAAGCAAAGCAAGTTACAGAATAAATTCAACAGTCCAACGAGGCCTGGGCAAAAAGTAAGGTGGTTCAAATCCAGGTTCAATTTCATCTTAATTCCCGAAGACGCGTGCATACTTGTATGGCGGAGGTCGCAGTGCTATTGGTTTTCTTTTTTGCTCCATCTCTGTTTTAAATCTAGGAGGACAAGGCTGCCATGGGTTTTGCAATTGTCCATTTAGGATGCTTTGCGAACACACCACTTGACATGGACATGAGTCAGGCACTTGATTCTATTTTTGTCCCTTCTATAAAAATAAATAAATAAATAAATAAAAATCACATTCTGAGCCAAATTTTGCTCTGACTCACACCAGTATAAATCTGGAGTAATTCCACTAATTTTAATGGAGTTACTCCAGATCTACACTAGTGTAAATGAGAGTGGAATTTGGCTGCCTAGATTATGTCACGTTCATATTAACAATGAAATAAACGATGGGCAGTGACGAAGGAGGAATACAAGCATAGCACACACATGTCACATAAAGCAGAGCCTGTCCTGAAGCACTGAAATGACAGATGTGGGCCGCAACAGGAAAAGTAAATTTGAGGCAGAATGAAAGAACGATGGCTGCATTAAAGACAGAGAGGCAGGAAACAGAAAACTAGAGCATACTGTAACCCATCCAAGGCAAAAGACCCTAATAAGTGCTGTCAATAACAGCTGTATACCTTCACCCCACCAACCACTCCAATTCATGGCACAATCACAGCCAAACTGGGAGTGGCATTATCCTCCTCTGTCCTCAGGTTTCCTTAATATACTTGTATATTTTTGCCACCTGTTGCCAGATTACCGTTCCTGAGCATTTGGAACGGAAAAAGCTTTTTGCTGGCACAAGATGATTTGCTGGGGGTGACTCAGAACAAAGCCAAGCCACAGCGTTTGTACAGGCAATTGAGATTGTATGGGAAGGAAACACTCAACACAAGAGGAACAGTAAGTGGAGAGGAACAAAGCTGAAGTACGAGGTCTGTGATAATTGGAGAGACTGGCTGCTAGACAGGTGAACATTCTGGCCTTTTCCCATGTAAGTAATATTTTGTGCTCAATGGCATGGAAGATATGTAGGGCCCAATCCTAGGACTTTGCAACGTGGCAGTAAGAGCAAGGTAACTCCTTGAAGTCAGATGTGTCAGACCTACACTGGACAGACAGATGGACTGACTAACATAACTGTAGGAAATTTAGGGGTGGAATGGCAGATGGGGATCCTGACCCATTCCCCCAGCAGCCCTCTATGGATCTTGCTTCCCCCTCTCTTTTCTCCCCTGAAGCCATGCTACGCCATTCTAGGGCAGCTGTGTCACTCCTGCAGGAGGAAAGAGGAGGGTGGGCACTGGGACCCCAATCTAATAAAAACCAAATGAGCAATGGCACCTAGGTGTGGCTGGGGGAGGGCCTGCAGAGGGCCCGCAAACTTCTGCTCGTTCCCCGCCCTCATCACCATGGAGACGGGGTAGACTCCAGTTCCATTTTGGAGATCCCTGTTAGGAACGACGCAGTCACTTCAGTCCCTCCAAATGATTGACAGGACCTGACCCCTCACGTTCCCCCGAAGTTATGTGTGTGACATGTGGGCCCTGCATCCGTGGAGTCAGTCCAGCCCATGTAGACCCAAGGCCTACAGGAGGGAGAGGGACAAGACTGCCTAGCCACAGGCCCCAAGTAGAAGCGGGGGAGGAATGGGTACACTATCAGGGCCCAGTCCAAAGGGGGCAGCTAGGCAGAGGGCCACAAGCCCATCACCATGAGAAAAAAAATCCAGGCCAAATTGTGGCCATTTGGTTTGATTCAATGTTATTTATATAATCTGAGTATGTTTTCATCAAGGACAGGTCCATCAATGGCTATTAGCCAAGATGGTCAGGCTATGCTCTGGGTGTCCCTAGCCTCTGACTGCCAGAAGCTGGGAATGGGCAACAGGGGAGGGATCACTCGATAATTGCCCTGATCTGGTCATTCCCTCTGGGGCACCTGGCACTGGCTGCTGTCGGAAGACAGGATACTGGGCTAGATGGACCACTGGTCTGATCCAGCCTGGCCGTTCTTATGTTCTATGCCTGTGGGATAGGGGCCAGTGTTATGAGTTTGCCCTGGGCCCGGCATAATGAGTCTGGCCTCCCAACAAACCTAGTGTGAAGGCTTACCGCTCTTAAAGTGAGAGCTCTCTGGGGCGGAGACTTTGTATTGTTCATTTGCACAGTACAATGGAGCCCTGATTGTAGTCTGTAGGAGCTATCCCAATAGAAATAATAAATAAGGCATGACTCCTCACATGGCAGCGTCTGTACAACACACTTCTACTTAAATCCTAGTGGGATTTCAGTCAGCGATGGGTGGGAGCTGAAAGGAAAATCTATAAGGGGCAATGATAATTAAAATCCAGAGAAAGAGTTTAAAGCCAAATCAAAACACAAAAATCTGCAGCTATAGCAGGTGGCATTCCAGTAAATTTGCAATGACCGTTGTTAAAATGGAGTCCCTATAGTGAAGGGGGTTGAGACATTCTCTTCATGCCAGTGTGATAGCCACCATCTTGGCCATCACAACAGAGAATGAACAAGGGGCCTCCAGAACTAAAACCACGCACTGCTGTAGCTTGAGCTAAAGAGCCAGGGCTCCCTAGCTGGGCCTGTATCAGGCTCCTATTTTTTGTGGACTATGCACAGCGGGGAACCCGTAACACTCACTCATAGGTATCCCAATGCTAGCATACACTATGTTCTTCTGTTTCCCCACAGCATTATTAAGTACTTGTTACATGCCAGCAGTGTCCTTGGCCCTGCCTGCACAAGACAAAAAGGACAGACAGGCCCTACTCAAAAAGCTTGAGATCAGTGGGAGTTAAGTGCCTAGGCACTTTTGAAAATCCCACTAAACATCTACCTACATCTTCAGGCACCGGAATTTAAAAATCTGGCCCTTGGCTCCTCTGTCTTAGCATCCCATCTGTAAAAGGGGGATAATGGCATTTCCCTGCCTTACAGGGTTGCGGTGAGGATAAATACATTAAAAAGATTATGGGACGTTCAGACACTAAGCTAATGGGACCATAAGTACTGTAGATAAGAAGATAATTCTAAAACAATATTATTAATTCACTTACTTTTGGGCAGAGTCTTTAGAAATTTACCTCTGCTATGATGCCCACAGAACCCTGCCATCTGACCGCAGATAGGCTAGTGATGAACAACTACTGTTTACCGTACCACATTAGCATATTCCACCATTACCTTGCCATCCCCTCCTGCAGTTCTCTTACCCGATCTCTGATGCAATATTATAAATGTTTTGGGGCAGAAACAGTCTTTTTTGTTAAAGGCCTGTAAAGCACCTCGTATAATGGAGCCCTGATACAGGCCTCCAGCTGCCACTGTGTTCTGAATAATGAACAACAGTAATAGAAAGGCGTAATACAACATTTATTCAATCGCTTTTTAAATGTCAGGTTGGCTAACAACCTAAGTGGGTAAAAGCTGAGATTTGCTGTGTATTAGCCTGTTAAATATTTATCCCAAAACTATAAATGTTGCTACTGTAACTCGAATAATAGGCCTTGATAGTAAATGAGGTCAAACATTTCCTTTGTAAAGAGGAGTTATTCTGCACTTGGAACTAATTGAATTCCATACAGAATAGCAATGGAAATTGGGATTAATCATTCTGTTTTAATTTGTAAGGCAAAGTCAGAAAACAATACATTTAAGAAGAACGGGAAATACCGGAGCTGAGCAGCTTTCTGGCCTAATTAATGGAGTTGTAAATGCAACTATTTTGCAGATATGCAGGGGGCCACAAAGATTAATAGACCCTAATAAATAAAGAGGGAGCTAAAGGAGTGCAGGAAGAGATAGCCCTGCTCTGAATACACAGTAGCATCTCCTCCATTTCCCTGGCAGCTGGGCTGCTCTGTATTTGGGGCACGGAGTTCAAAGAAATGAACACATTGAAGGTATATCTGTTTTGCTAAAGCTTTATCAGATAGTATACACCTATGCCATTTAAACTCAAGGAGCCCCTTTTAATCAAGGGGTGACGAGGACAATCTATAAGTATCTACAGGGGGAGCAAATATTTAATAATGGGCTCTTCAGTATAACAGACAAAAGGTCTAACACAATTCAATGGCTGGAAGTTCAAGCTAGACATATTCAGACTGGAAATAAGGTGTACATTTTTAACAGGGAGAGTAATTAACCATGACCAAGATCACTGACCATTTTTAAATCATGATTGGATGTTTTTCTAAAAGATCTGCTCTAGGAATCATTTTGGGGAAGTTCTGTGGCTTGTGTTCTACAGGAGGTCAAACTAGATGGTCACATCCTGGTTCCTTCTGGCCTTGGGATCTATGAAACT